ATCTGTATCTGTATGTGACTATGATGTTTGCTTATCTAACCATTCATGTTTGTAAGTAGGAATATGTAATTAGTTTTTGTTTGATTATTGATTAAAAATTTAAGGACATTTGGGAAAAATCACATGTCAAAGATAAAGTAAAACGAAAGAGTAGTAAGAGTAAAAGTTGAAAACACAAAGTAAAGTAAATCATCAAAAAAGGAAACACATTTCATAATTGAATATGAAGTGATTTTAGTTGTTGTCTTGTCTTTATAAATTTTTGTTTTTTGGGAAGATGTTACATTTAAGTACATATTTGTAAGTGCTAGAAGAAGTAAAAGAAATATTTATTTTGTTTATACTAAAATACACTTGAGATTTATCGGCATGAAAATTAAAGTAGCTGAAAGTATCGCGTTGTATAAGTACTTTTACTTACATGTATGATTAAGAAAGTGGCTTCCCTACTACCACTTGAAATCATTAATTATCTGATAAACAATTTGTCCTTTCAATACATTTCTTTTTTTGTTTTGGGAAGATAGTTGTTTATACTATTTTTGAATTTATAGTGAAGTTATCTGATCTTTAATGTAAATTAAAAAAGGGGTTTCATTAAATAGCATATTAAATGTAGATTGATGTTGGCAACTGCTACTTGTCGTTTTAGCTACATACATATGTATATACAATTTTAAAAATTATTTTAATTTTATCTTTTGTTCTATATATAACACGAAAATTGAAAAATTTTAATTTTTTTTTAAATTGTTAATAACAGAAAGGATGCAAGTAGTTCCAAGAATTTAAAACAAATCTTGTGAATTATGGTTCCTGTTATAACTCTTAGTTAACTTGTATAACTTCGAATTAACAGTAACAGCAGAAAATCATTCGTCATCCATTTCTCGGACCCTTAAGGTTTGAACAACATTGTTAAAGTATTTCGCCGATGTAGCAATGTCGTAGTTGGTTTTCATTAAGAAAATACTTGTGGGTTATATAGTCTAGTCTATAGTCTAGTCTATAGTCTAGTCTATAGACTAGTCTATAGACTAGTCTATAGTCTAGTCTATAGTCTAGTCTATAGACTAGTCTATAGACTAGTCTATAGTCTAGTCTATAGTCTAGTCTAGTCTAGTCTAGTCTAGTCTATAGTCTAGTCTATAGTCTAGTCTATAGTCTAGTCTATAGTCTAGTCTATAGTCTAGTCTATAGTCTAGTCTATAGTCTAGTCTATAGTCTAGTCTATAGTCTAGTCTATAGTCTAGTCTATAGTCTAGTCTAGTCTAGTCTAGTCTATAGTCTAGTCTATAGTCTAGTCTATAGTCTAGTCTATAGTCTAGTCTATAGTCTAGTCTATAGTCTAGTCTATAGTCTAGTCTATAGTCTAGTCTATAGTCTACTCTATAGTCTAGTCTATAGTCTAGTCTATAGTCTAGTCTATAGTCTAGTCTATAGTCTAGTCTATAGTCTAGTCTATAGTCTAGTCTATAGTCTAGTCTATAGTCTAGTCTATAGTCTAGTCTATAGTCTAGTCTATAGTCTAGTCTATAGTCTAGTCTACAGTCTAGTCTATAGTCTAGTCTATAGTCTAGTCTACAGTCTAGTCTATAGTCTAGTCTATAGTCTAGTCTATAGTCTAGTCTATAGTCTAGTCTATAGTCTAGTCTATAGTCTAGTCTATAGTCTAGTCTATAGTCTAGTCTATAGTCTAGTCTATAGTCTAGTCTATAGTTAGTCTATAGTCTAGTCTATAGTCTAGTCTATAGTCTAGTCATAGTCTAGTCTATAGTCTAGTCTATAGTCTAGTCTATAGTCTAGTCTATAGTCTAGTCTATAGTCTAGTCTATAGTCTAGTCTATAGTCTAGTCTATAGTCTAGTCTATAGTCTAGTCTATAGTCTAGTCTATAGTCTAGTCTATAGTCTAGTCTATAGTCTAGTCTAGTCTAGTCTATAGTCTAGTCTATAGTCTAGTCTATAGTCTAGTCTATAGTCTAGTCTATAGTCTAGTCTATAGTCTAGTCTATAGTCTAGTCTATAGTCTAGTCTATAGTCTAGTCTATAGTCTAGTCTATAGTCTAGTCTATAGTAGTCTATAGTCTAGTCTATAGTCTAGTCTATAGTCTAGTCTATAGTCTAGTCTATAGTCTAGTCTATAGTCTAGTCTATAGTCTAGTCTATAGTCTAGTCTATAGTCTAGTCTATAGTCTAGTCTATAGTCTAGTCTATAGTCTAGTCTATAGTCTAGTCTATAGTCTAGTCTATAGTCTAGTCTATAGTCTAGTTTATAGTCTAGTCCATAGTCAAGTCTATAGTTTAGACTTCAACTAGCCTTTTTTATTATAATATAATTATCTTGAAGAATTCAATACAACCCCTGCTCTATATTTAATCCGGAAAATTAACATCAATAGCTCAACGATTTCTTTGTTGCCAACAACTATGAGTCAATGCTACGCAGAAAAAAACCTTTCAAAATGCGATTTTTATACAAAATCCTTAACTTTATCCAACACTTAAGAACAACATGGAGCAACAAAACTGTTGTTGCATGTTATTTACTTGTTGCCACATCGTGTTAAAACAAATGTACGTTAATGGATAAGAAGACGGTTGGTTGTTAAGTGAGAACCTAGTTCGTGCACGAACTGATTGTTAAAATCAAAGCATCACACAGACACACACACACACTTTTATACACTTAACAGGCAACGGGAATTATAATGGACCCCATACTAAAAAAAATGAAATCTGTTTGAAATAAATGTCCTTTAAATCTGACAAAACAAGACTTGACATATTTGTCAAATATCAGAGTTTTTTAATAAATTAATTTTCCTTTACCGAAGACACAAAAGAATATTGTACAAAACTGTTCACAAGACATGTACTCTTATCATTGTACAAACATCTAACAACAGTTGTACTCCTCGAGAATTACGATGATGACGGTGATGAGTGAGAGAGCGAGAGTGTGTTTAAGGAGAGTATGCAAGTACACAGCTGACATAACCTTCCAACTTCAGTAAATGAAAACAAAAAACGAGGAATAAATATAAAACAATAATAAATAAAAAACATACATATAGCAAAAAAAGGAAAAAATACACAACCTACAACAACACGAGTAGCAACAACAACAAAAAGAAATATTCAAAATATACACACACAGTATGTAACACTAAACGAACGAACACAATAACAATAATATAAAGAGGCGCCAGGAGAGTCATTGCCATACACAAGTACTCGTTGGTCTTAAAAACAAAAAAACACACAGAGTGGCATAGAAGTGGTTTGTACTTCTTGAACTACTCCGCATACAGTAAAGCACTGCACACAACCCAGCACCGTACCGCACAGCGCACACAGAACATAAACATCATTGCCACAATGTAAATGAAAACCAAAAAAAGTGTGGCGTCCACTTGAAAGATACAAAAAGCGCTCTATGAAAAAAAAAAACATATGTATGATGTATTTGAGTTTCCAAATTTAACAGTAGATTAAATTGGTTTGATCATTGCTCCTTCCATTCTGTTCCGTTTTTTCTTAGTGATCGTACTAATCGAATTGATGTATTTGAGATTCAGGAATTATCCAATTTCTGAAATTATTTCCACTTCAAACAACGCTCCAGTTTTTATGATGTTAATTTCGCAATTCCTTCACAGAACGTTTGAAAATTATTCCATTTTGTTGTATCAATAAAACAGCGCTGGGAATCGTCGATCTTCAGACTCCTTCTTTAGATACACACGAATTCTTAAATAGTTCATTAATTTTCGAATACTTTTTCTTGGAAGCCAATAAGCCCATGATTGATGCTTAGCATACAGATGACGAACAGAGCCCTCTCCCGGTAAACGAAATTCACAGTGGGTATCACTCTGGCGCCGAAACAAAGGTACTTTCGAAAACGTATGAAGCAGTGTTAGGTGAATTCGAGAAAACGATCCTTCTTAAAATTGATGGACCCATTCGCGTATACCGTGAGCTACACGACCTATATCCCGACATGAGTGTAGTTAAGCGCATCAAAATACAGCGATTGCTTTGGCTCGGACATGTCGTGCGAATGGAAATGAACGCTTCAACAAGAAAAGCGTTAGATGAAAACTTTCACTGAAAGCGCAGACCTAGACTCCGGTGGAAGAAACAAGTGAAAGAAGCTACGAAATACCTTGGTATTACAAACTAGAGACAGCACTCACAAGATTGAAATGCTTCGGAAATCATTTCTTAACCAGACCACCCCCAATAACAGGTTGTAGTGTAAGTTAGTTGAAAAGTGTATCTTCAAAAGCGAATTTTTCTTTATCCCCAAGTTGAGTTCATCACCTTAGACCGAGTTAGATTTCTTTCGAATCAAAACGAAGAGTACTACAGCTGTCCCCTATAGGACTTGACATAAGTGTAGTTAAGGTCATCAAAATACAGCGATTGCTTTGAAATAAACGCTCCAGCAAGAAAGACGTTCGATGGAAACTTTTATGGAAAGCGCAGACAAGGAAGACCGAGACTCCGGTGGAAGGACCAAGTGAAAGAAGCTACGAAACTGGATGCAGCACGCACAAGATTAAAGTGCTTCGACTTAAGTAAATAAGTTAGCAAATGTCCCTCAATTGTCTTCATCACCTTAGATCGAGTGAGATTCCGTTCGTATCAAAACGAAGGAGGGTTTAATGTTATTAAAGTATAGGAGTGGAACTGACAGTAGAAGTCATCTCAAATAAGAATCTTTATCCTTGTAAAAACGCCAAAGATTTCTAAAAAAAGCACTAAATAGTCATCACTATCCATAAAGTACATTTTGGTGGTAACATTAAATAAAACACAATAACGACATGAAGAAACAAAAAAAAACTAAAAATGAGAGATGATGATGACGAGAGTAAAAGAGAGTATAAGTATTTATAATACTTTGTACTCATTTATAAAATTGATTCCCTTATTGAAGTTTTTGACATTGTCAGTCGGTCGTCTATCACTGTGAGTATGTGGAATATTCACTCACATTTAGTTTGTTTAGATATGTCAGCGTGTTTGGACGTGCGTAAAAAATCTTAAACTTTACATTCATTATTGTTTATTTATGTTTTTCTTACTCCAGAGCAAAACAAAAAAACGATACATAAAAAAAAATTTCTTTAAAGAAAAATACTTTTAAATTTCGGTTCAATACAAGACGTTATACGGTTCGATTTATTTTGGTTTTATATTTTCGGTTTTGTTTTCGTTTCTTGTTGTTTTTACGCTAAATTGACAAATAAGTGTGTTACTTTTGGAAATTTGATATGAATTATATATAAAGTGTAATACATATAAAAATAAATTGAATCCTTGTTATTACACACAGAAATATCTATACGTGTACGTGTTGTTTGTGAAAAAAATCTCAACTATTTCTGTAGCAGAGCAGCTAAAATCAAAAAAATATTAAGAAAAATATCTGTATAAAAAAAAGAAAAGAAAAATATTAAAGTTATACATAATAAATACGAAATGTTACAGTATCCAGTAAAAAATAATGTACGTATACATGTTTAGTTATATTTAGAAAAAAAATATGTATGAAATCACAACCATAGTCAACAGGATAACAACGATTAACTTGATTTTGTGCAAAAGTATGTTTGTGTCTGTTATTTGGTATCTGTGTGTGTGTGTGTGTGTGTGTTAGAATTACAAAATACTTACGGCACGTATACAAACAAATTATAAAATCGAAAAAAAGCGGAAAATTGAATTTTTCTTTTTTTATTTTATTTATTTTTATTGTTTTGTTTTTGCTGTTGCAAATATGAACTCCTAAATTGTTGCCTTCTTTTCAATTTTGGCTTGAATAATAAGAAATGTATACGAATGAAACTCAGCAAGGAGCAGCCAAGAAAATACTTACAACTAGTGTTTATAAAAAACCGACTTTTGGAAAAACCGGTTTTTCGGTTAACCGAAAATTAACCATTTCTAAAAAACCGGTTTGTCGGTTAACCGAGTATAAAAAACCGGTTAAACCGGTTAACCGAAATGTTTGGAAATCTTTAAAATATTATAATATATAGTTGAAAAATGTCATTTTGCGAAATATTATAAATTACTTAATAAGATATTTGCATTTTTTAGTATAGATATGTACATTAATATATCATAAGAAAACAAACTTATATAGATCTGAAGATATTATTGATTCGTTAGGTATATGGAAGTTGCCATACGAGGGATAAATTGACCATATATATCAATAGCAAAAATTATGCCCAGAACTATAAACAGTGTTCAGGTTCGCGATGATTGTCTCGACATAGACAGTGACCTCCCTCCACTCACTACGCCTGTGGTTGTTCAAATTACTGTGAATGACGCTTAGGAATATTGACAGGTGTCATTCTGACTTCCTGTCAATCAACCTAAGCGCCATTACAGTTTGTGAAAAACCCCAGCAGCATAAGTTCTCGGACGGCAACAACAATCCTTATGTTTCGATAAATAAAGTCCGTTTTGAGAACGTTTGAGAAACTTCTCGATTTTTACTATACTCACGCAGTAAACAAGTAAGTATATAGATAATATTTGTTTAACAATCTTAGGTCTGTTTTCATATGCACAAACGGAAAATAATGTTTAAAATTATCTATCCAAAATTTTTAAAAATCACAATAAAATATCAAAGAAAACATACAATTTTGTACTAAAAATTAGATTTTTTTGAAACCGGTTAACCGAGACTTAAAAACCGGATAACCCGGTTAACCGAAAACCAATGTTTTAAAAAACCGGTTTGCGAAAAACCGAAATATGCAATAAAAACCGGTTTTTCGGTTAACCGGTTAACCGGTTTATAAACACTACTTACAACCAAACACACACACACACACACTCCACTTTTTGAGACGTTACAATAAATGTTTAATATGAAATGTATTGTTAATGTATTGTTAAAATAAACTGAAGAAAAAACAAAAAAGAAACAAACTCCTTGCTAGTACTTTAAATCAGACAGACGACAGACCTATACTTTCGAGCCATACGTTTGAAGTTGAATTGTGTTGCAGATGTTTCGATACTCCTTAAAGACACACAAAAATTTAGTAATTATGAAAGCAGTTTGAAAAGATTTTTTCTTGGGATTTAAAAAAGGAGAATACTTTGGACTGGGGGCTAAAAGCATGTTAATGTAGATTGGAAATAATGTAAAGATCTAGAATACAAAGTTTCTTAAAACTGATTCAAATACTCCTTGATTGGTCAGACCTTCAATTCTGAATGTATATATCAAAGATCTTTAACTGACAATACGATCAATCTATTTTGATCATATTGTTAATGCGATCCTTTCTCGACAAAAAGGTTTCGGGGCAATATCATTAACTGCTACAAGTTTACTCTTACAATTGGATCGAAATGTGCGTAGCAAGATCATTCTTCGAGCTCATAAATCGTCCAAAATATCAGAAATTTTACGATCGACTATATCTTAAAGATCTTCTCACGTTATTAGCTTGTTATTATATGTATATCAGTCTAAATTTCACCTAAAATTTTATTATTTGAAAACGATCTTGAAGTGTGAGTAACTTGAGAAAAATCTTGAAATAATTATAATTTTTGAGATCATAATTTTTACTAATTCTCCTAAAAGAATCAACTCTTTCGAATCGTTTCAATATCAATTAACATCGCAATTAACTCTAGTTCGTAGTTGACGAAAGATTGCGATTGATATTACTTCTTTGAGAATTGATCATTCTAGATCAGTTTGCTTTTAAGGTGCAATTATCCAGTAGCAAACTTGTCAAAACATAAGAATAATATGATTTTCTTCTAAAAACCACTTCTGTTTTTAAAATGGTTCTGTCGGTGATTCTCTTGATATCGATCTTCTTGGAATTCCCGAATTCCCATGAGAAAATTAACTTATTTTAATTGTTGAGATATCAAGAGAGGATCACTAAACACTATTAGGAAGATGATGAAGATTATTTCGAGAGATCAATTGATCACAATCAATTGCAAAATCTGCACCTAATTCTAATTTCTAGCTATTCATTCAAATTTCTCAATTGCACAAGACATATAAGAAACCGGGATCTCTACTTTGTTTTGAACTCATTCAATCCTTAGCTCTATGATCGTTATACAGTGACCGTTTTACCATTTATAACAAAAATAACAACAAATCTGAAATAAAATGATCAGAAATAAAAACGCTCATAGATTTATTGAAAGATCTTAGATTTTCAAGATAGAATTGTAAAGTGTTTCGACTTTGATCGTAGTCTATCTTTAGTTCTAAGATTGTTGCATGATTTCATCATAATATTTTAAACAAACGGAAATCAGAAATACTACGATCAGCTATAATAAAGATCACCAGTCCTTTAATGTTCGAACATCCTTCTCGAACACTCCTCGTAATTCGATTCCTGTAAATGTATGTTTGATTTTTAAGTGAATGAACAAGATTGTATGAGTTTTTCTAAGCGACTTAATGTATGTGTGTGTATGAGAAAATGTTCAAATTCCTTGTGCCCGATTTTAAAACGGAGTTACGTGTGTGTGTGTGTGTGTCTCTATTTTTTTATTTGCTAGCTGTAATCGTTATTATTGTCACTATTGCAGACGTCTTCGCCTTCGTTGTGTCATTTTAAATCGTGGTTCTCTGTTGTTGTCACTACTCCTTAGAGTAAAGTGCAGTTTGAGGATTGTAACATGATATAAATAAGTTGGAAGAACCCAATGAAATAAAACTAAAAATACCAACAACAAACAATACAAATATTAATACACATAAAGTATCATATATACACTTACTTACAAATACTATTGTAAACTTACACCTAAACCAGTATAAAGAAAGGATATTACCACACACTATATCAAGCCAAACAAAAGTAAAAAAAGGATAAAAAAACTGCAGCAGGACTTGTTTTTTTTTGTACTCTACTTCTTTAAATGCATACAAATGTCGTCGTTGGCATAGAAAACACTATACACAAAGAAATAGAAAAAGGAAACTAAAAAAAGGAACTTTACCAACAACAACAACTCAAAAGAACACGTAAGTTAACATGTTGCAACATTGAATTCTTTCTTTTCTTGAAATACGTATTGAATACGTTCTATTCATACCGTTAGGGGAAACATAAGGCCCTTACAGGCTTTATAACAACAGTTTCTTCTTTCTTGCTTTTTGTATAAAGGGTAGTTAGGGTTTTTTAAAACACTAATTTATCGCTTTATTTTAATCTTTAAAAGAAGTTTACCTGGGTTTTTTATACTTTCCACTTATGAATATTAAGTAGCAACGCCTTGGGATAAAAGAAATTTGTTTTTTGATAAAATAAAATTCTTTATTGCTTAGAGTTGTACTTCTTTTTAAATCATTACTTTATTACAAGTAATTTTTCATTTATTTGAAAATTTTTTTTTTTAATAAGTTACAATTAAACTGCTAATTAAAGTGTTTACTTTGAAGCACTTCCAACAGCAGCTGCTGGCTTTACATATAAAAACTTTAAAACCCACGCTTTTGCAGTTTGTCAAGCAATTACTTAAGAGGAACTATATAATTTTTTAATTGTCATCACTTGAAAATCATCATGTATGTAGGTCGGCTTTTTGTTAATTACTTTTTGTGTAAAATTATTAGGTAATTAAATCATTTTATTTGTTTCTCACAAACATATGTCATTTATAATTGCATGAGAAGTATAATTTCCCAAAAAGAACTGACGACTTCCTTTAGGAAAATTTAAGAAGAATAAGATAATCTTTCAGTTTATATATTCTATAGTTTAGTCTAGTCTATAGTTTAGTCTATAGTCTGCTCTAAAGTTCATTCTAAAGTCTATAGTCTAGTCAAAAGTTTAGTCTAGATTACAAACATAAGTCTAGCATATACTTAATCTAAAGTCTGTTCAATAGTCTGATAAATTGTTAATAATCTATAGTTTAGTCTATATTCTAGTCTATAGATTAGTCTATAGTTTAGTCTATAGTTTAGTATATAGTTTAGTTTATAGTGTAGTCTACATATAGTTTAATCTGTGGTCTAGTCTATAGTTTAGTCTATAGGCATGTCTGTAATCTAGTCTATAGTTTAGTGTATAGTCTGGTCTGGTAAATATATATATAAACAGTCTAGTTTATAATCTAGACTACAGACATAGTCTAGTCTATAGCCGAGTCAATAGTCTATAGGATAGTCCATAGTCTTGTCAATAATAATCGAGTCTATAGTTTAGTCTATAATTCAGTCTACTGTTTAGTCGATAGTCTAATTTTAATCTCATTAATAGTCTGTTCACTAGTTTAGTCTTTAGTCTAGTCTTAGTATATAGACCAGTCTAAAGTTTAGTCCATAGACCAGTCGACAGCCCAGTCTATATTATTCTCTACATATGTATCTATAGATCCTTAAGAAGTATTCCTATCTTAGCTATTTAAAATTTCGTAATTCGGTAACATTTCTTTAATTTAACTAAAAACAAATCAAGACCAATCTTAATCATACTTGTTCGCTGTTATTGAAACGTTAAGAAAACATTTCAAACATCCTCGAAAGGTTGTTAACACCTGCTGTAAAGTTCCTTTTAAGTTCCCCCTCTCAATAAGTGAAAATACAACTAAAAAGGAGTTTGATTTCTTTAAGTATTCTTCTTTCCACATACATGTATGACAACGAAAGGCTACTACCATTAAATACAATTTTAAAATGGATTTTAACATTCTAAGCAAACAACAAAAACAACAACATTAAAAAACAGCCATATAATATACATCAGAGGTTTTTAAACAAAAAAACACAGTTAAAACAACAATACTAATAACAACACATTATGACTATTGTTTTTTGATTGTCTAGAAGAAGTTTTGTAAGACCAAAACAGACTTAAACTATTATCACAGGGTAAAGGGAGGGAGGTAAGAGGGTATGTAATTTAACGTATCATTTACTAACTGTAGTTACAATTACATATTTACACAGGGACATATGTATGTATGTACTCGTGTGTATGTAATTTATGTTAGAGTATCTAATAAAGTTTAAATAAAACCATACAACTCATATTTATTTATCTATTCCTCATGGTAAAACTTCAAGTTTTTGTATTTATTACACACTTTTACATTGTTGTTGACTGTTATTTTTTAATATGCATGTATGTATGTGGATGACAAGAGTAACAACAACAATAGCAATTGTAATAATACCTAAAGTTCATTTTCCGACCAAAAAAAAGGAAAAAGCTAAAAAAACATGATATTCTTTTAAAAAATAAATAAAATTTATATTGTATCTCGAAAATACATAGAACCCACGCATTTCCTTATAATAAGTTTAAGTTTATTATTTTTATGTTGTTGTTCATGTTTGTTTGTTTTTAATTCAAATATGACAGTTCCTTTATTGTTGTTGCTGTTGTTGTTCTTGTAGTTGTGCTTTTCTTTTGTCAAATAATTACAGTTTTACTCCTAACTTTATTACCCCACATACTCATACGTATATAGTCCAGATAAATTAGAAGAATCAATGATCAAAGTGAAAAATTTTAGATAGCTAGGTTAGCGCACGTTGATAAGAGTGGACTTATAGACTAGACTAAAGTATAGATCAGATTATAGACTAGACAATAGACTAGACTATAGATTACACTATAGACTAGACTATTGACTAGACTATAGACTAGACTATAGAAAAGACTATAGACTAGACTATAGACTAGACTATAGACTAGACTATAGACTAGACTATAGACTAGACTATAGACTAGACTATAGACTAGACTATAGACTAGACTATATACCAGACTATATACTAAAGTATAGATCAGATTGTAGACTAGACAATAGACTAGACAATAAATTCGACTATAGACTAGACTATAGGCTAGACAATAGACTAGACTATAGACTAGACAATAGACTAGACTATAGACTAGACTATAGGCTAGACTATAGACTAGACTATAGACTAGACTATAGACTAGACTATAGACTAGACTATAGACTAGACTATAGACTAGACTATAGACTAGACTATAGACTAGACTATAGACTAGACTATAGACTAGACTATAGACTAGACTATAGACTAGACTATAGGCTAGACTTATATAGCCAATGGAATGTAGACTGGACTACAGACTAATCTAGTCTATAGATTAGTCTGTATTATAGACAAGTTTAAAGTCTAGACTATATATTTGACTATATACAAGTGTATAGGCTAGACTATTTACTAGACTACAGACTGTTTTATGGACTAGATTATAGACTACAATATAGACTTCAAAATAAACTAGATTATAGACTACAATATAGACTTCAAAATAAACTAGATTGTAGACTAGACTACAGACAAGACAATAGAGTAGTCTAAAGACTAGACTATAGACTAGACCATAAGATATACTCTTGGATTGACTATAGACTAGACTATAGACTTCACTATATACAGGACTATAGACTTAACTATAGACTAAACTATAGTCTAGACTTTAGACTGTACTATAGACTAGACAATGGAGTAGACAAGAGACTAAATAATACACTAGACCTTAGACTAGACTACAAACTAAACTATAGTCTAGACTATGGACTGAACTATAGTAGACTGGACCACAAACTAGACTATTTATTTTTTATAACCATTTTATAACCATTTTTTATAACCATTATTATAGACCATAGACTAAACTATAGATTAGATCATAGAGTAGACTATAGATTTCACTATGGACTAGATTGTAGATTGGACTATAGGCTAGAGTTTAGAGTGAACTATGGATTAGATAATATACTAGACTTTGTACTAAAGGCTGAGATACATCGAGGCCAAGACAAAGGTCTAAATTAATTTTTATTCATATAAAACTTTGCAGCGGAATCCTAATTTGACTGGATTAATAATATAAATAATATTTTGTACAAATACAATAACAATGAAGTTTTAAATTTGTAGTATTTGCCCTCGACTCTGTTTGTCATTGTTGGCCCTTTTATTGAAAACTTTGCAAATGTTTTATTTAAAGCGGAAAGGAGAACTCATACAAATTGTGCCACAATTGTTCCAAAGTTTCATTACGTCTTAAATCTGTTAAATTTAAATCAAAGTTAAGCCAAAATTAAAAGAGTAATCACATTGTATATTATTTTCCCAGAAATCCTTTATTATTTAATAATTCAGAATTTTTAATTTGTACTCCGAAAAAAAAACCGTACAATTGTAACAAATTTTCCCTCCCCATAACGTATGCATTATTCATTCATGCAGCCAAAGCGGGTTGCTGTATTTATTATTATTTAATTCTTATTGTCTTGTAGTTGTTGCAATGAATTTTTCTTAATTTATTATGAGATAATAAAAAATAATAAAAAAAAAAAAACATGTAGTGATCTTGTTGCACATGTAGTACGTCGGTATGTTTTGCCTGCATGTACAACTCACTGTAGAACATTAATGCAACTTAGAGGAGATATGAAATATAAGAATTTTTTTTTCTGCTCCACAGTTTGTCCTACACTCAGTGTCAGAAAAATGAAAGAATTAAATATAGATGTTTGTTTTTAAAATGTCATAATATATTTTTAAAGTCATTTATCAAAAAAGAAAAAAAAAAAAAAAAAGAAGAGCAAACGAACAACAAAAACGAAAAAAACTAGGGATTATCGGGGGGTTTTGGTAAAGATTTGTAGAGAAATTTATTGTTTGTGCGGTATTATGTGATTATAAATTGTCACATACGAGTTTGTTCTCGCTCCGACAGATGAATTATTTGTAGGCTTATAAGTATAAGGATTTCTAGTTGAGAATAAGATATGAAAGCAAATGTCAAAAAAATATATTAATTTTATTACAAAGAAAGAATTATTCAAACTAGTTTTGAGATTAGGAGATTAACGTTGAACGAGAAAGTGATCATGATGATCAATTTCCAGCTTGAAGTAATTGTATTTAGATCTTATTCTTTTTGTTGGAAATTTCGTCTAGAAGTAAGATCGTTTGTAAGATCGTTTTTGTAAATAGAGAGTCGATTGTGATCAGTTTGCTTTCCT